TACAAGAAACCTTTAATTTTTTGTTTTATAGTGAACCAGAATTAATGGAGTTAGTTTCAATTTATGGAAAAAAGTAATTATCCTTTCGGTCTTATAGATTATATTGCTGTGAGAATAACGGTTTTGGTTTAAAACTATCATATGATTGTTAATACTGTGAAGTATTCTATGCACAGTACAAGCGATTGCGGTTCTAAAGGTTAATAACATATGAATAATACATGTTAGCCATAATTACTTCTGAATTGCAAAATTCCCCAACATTACAACTAACTCTTCAGTCCAAGTTGCTACAACCTCCAGAGTTGCAACTTGTTGGGATCATTACAAAGAAGGGTTGCCTTTTAAATGATGCAGTCTTGATAAATTGCAGAGCATAGCGATAACCCCCTGGAATTCAATTGCATCATCATCAATCGTTGGACATTGCAAGTCAGATTAACCTTATTTACACAAGGAATGTGAGAATGACTGTAATGACATCAAGGATGTTTATAATCAAATGTTGCCTATTGAGTCGTGAACCAGTTGTGCTGCCTTGAAATGTGATTGTATATTTAATATTAATGATATTATTAATGATTATAAAAAGCAAATACCAATTTTGATAATTACCCAGGAAGTTCTGCTCCTTGATTTAATTTCTGTCAGCTAAGGAAGTCGTAGAATTAACCTGCTTGCCCAAGTTTTTTTTCTTTGTTAATAAGACAATATAGATAAAAAATAGTATCTCCTGTTAGTCTTCAGAGCCAAGCCATACATGCCACACATTTTGTTGTCGTCTTGGATTCTGAACAAATTTTTGAACAACACCAAGTGCCAATAAAAATATAGTTGTGCCCGTGAATTTGGAATCTGCGTCAATTTGAAATTCACGCGCGTGAAATTCAAATTAGCCAATCAGAATTTTATATTCAAACTGACGCAAATTTGATTTTCACGCGCAACACAGTAAAACTTCAACTATAAATGTTTAATCTTAACCTCGACAAGATCCATACTTAGTGTTTAATGTATATGAACGGCTACTGCTACCCCCGCATGGCAGCTAGAAAATGATGAAGAAAATTTTTATATGTAAATTTATGGTTTTGGTAGAGAAAAAAATATATTGACATAATCTCACCATTTTCTAGGAAAAACCAAAGATTCATCATATTTAATTGCCTTTTGTATAACAAACTCTTATTTTTTAAAAAACTTACCCGCTGTTCTAATACTTTTCCAGTTCTAAAATCATGAAGTTTTTTTAATCTTTCACTATCTTTTATAACAGTTAACGCAGTATTCAATGTTTTAACAAAATTTTCTTTTTCTTTATTGCAATCATCAGTCGATTCTCCAAATTCTACTCGCTTAAACAAGGCGGTAAAAATATTAATTGCTGAGATGGGAGTAAAAGAAATGAGAAAAGCTTCCATTTTTAAATATGGTGAAAAAGTAGTATGAAAAATTTTAAAAAATGCAAAAAAAAATGATGTCAATAAAAAGGTGCAACGAAATGAAAATCACTATAAAACGACAAATATTCATAATTTTGCTATATTACCCTTTTAAACGGTTTTCGCATTTTCTTTTTCTGTTTCATTTGGATATTTCAAAAGTCTAGAGTGCAGATTTTTCGTTAAAAAAATTTTTATTGAAAAATTTTATATCATCCAATTTAAATAGTTTTTTTTTTTTAATAAGAAATATTATTATTTAATAAGAATGTAAACCTTTATGGACAATTGATCTACTTAGTACACGATCCATTACTACTTTCCCGAAGCTTGTCTCTCACATAATTTCAACTGGTGACTTTTTCAACAGGTTCGGTGAATAAGCAAGGTAATGTGCTGGCTAATGGTCTTGACGTTTTGTTCACTATAAAGATAAAAAAAAGGTTTAACAAATATTTAGACAAAAAATTTATGTATTTTTAAAACATTCAAATTCAAAAAATAAAACCAACTACAAGAAAATTATAACACACCGCATTTTAAAAAACCAACACTCAGAGTCGCACTCTTTCGTATATATATAATAATTTTGGACCATTCCTTTAATTTTAAAAAAAAATAAAAAGGAAATTTTCTTACGTTGTGGTTATCATCATTATCATTATCATTATCATTATCATTATCATTATCATTATCATTATCATTTATTATTATTTTTTATTTTTTTTATTGATTGAAAAAAAAAAGAAATATTGACTATCTTTGTAATATTCAGTTTGAAGGATAAAAATTAATAATGTGATGATAAAACGATAATCAATATATTGGAAAAATTTGAATATAATTATTGTATTGATTAATAAATAAATATATATATATATATATAAATTATTATAAAAAACAAAAAATTAATTAATTAAAGTTTTGAATTGGTGTTAATTGTTTTACTATTATTTTCCCATGGTATAACTAAACCCATTTGTCTAAATTAATAAAAATAAAATTATTATTAATTTAATAATCATTTATTTTTTCTACTGCTG